CAGCCATACCTTGCCATTCTACACAAGCAGGTGCTTGACTCTGTTCTATATTCCCCAGATCCTACTTCAACAGCAGACTGTTTTCTGCTTGTTAAATCAGTCTTGCTCCTTCACCATGGAACAGTTACAGCAATACAGGTTAATTTAACCTGAGAAATAATAACATTTACTTAAATGTACCATCTTGCGAGTCACCTCTGTCTTAGAAGATACATGCCTGCAATATTTCAAAAATAGATTTCTGCTTTCCATAAGCGTTCAATAAGTGGGTGTAAGTATGTATCTTTCCTAAAACGTGGCTCTATTGACAGACAGGCAAGATGAAAAGCCACAATGCTTAACAACTTGCATTTCCTCCTTTTGTGAAACAGGAATTATTTTCTAAACTCTGCATCTGCAAATCAAACCTAGCTCAGTTGTGTTCTCTCCCATCTATGCGTTTCTACACGTAACAGGGATTCAGCAGGCCAAAAAGTGCCATTATTATCTTCAAGTTTTGACTTTGATGGTACCTGAGTGCAGGTACAAAAGTGAGATGTTGGAACTCATCTGGAAATACACTGTCTTTCTAGTGGATCACAGGAGCCAAAATAAACCACAGCCTGTTCTTACACAGCTGCATAAACACACTAAGATTTAACTGGAACCTGTCACTATGGTGGACAAGGCTTCCATCCATGGGCTTGTATCATTTCAGTGAGAAGATGCCACTTTTTAAAACATCGCTTTTCATCAAAGAGCAACACTTCAGTGCAAAAACTGCTGAGTTTTAAAGACCGATTTTATTATTGTGATCCAGAAATACACATGAGACATTCCCTCTCACAGATTTAGTTATAATCTGTAGATCACTTACCCAAGGTGGTGCAATATAATCTGACCCAATGTTAAAATAAGACTTAAATTTCAACATCATCGTCCCTGAGTATCTAATTGTGTTCACTGTATGCAACCCCCCAAAATATTAAATAAGCATCAGTTTCATGAGCACTTCTGTGTTACTGATAATGGATTCATATATTCATCAATAGAAGTGGAGTTTTATTGCAGTAAAAGGGGTGATCTGCGCTGCGAAAAACAGTTAGATGCACTGTTCATATGGAAATTTTTTTCCCTTCCAAAGCCATCTCATAACTTTTAATACCAGAGGGTTTGTGAGAGAACTACTTGGGTTTAGGTAATGTGAAAAGTAAATTATACACAGAAAATACAAATATTACTTCAAATTACTGACAACAACTTTAATGAGAATCAACAAACTTGGTATTTATAAGTAAATATATTACCCTTTCTGTTTGTTAACAAAATGAATGAGGATTTCCTATCACTGCATCCAACAATGTATTTGAATTATAAATCAAATCAGGACTGCCTTCCTGAAGGCCACTGTGCTACTCCCAAAAGGCCCTTTTGTCAATCCCTTATTTTCAGTTTGTTATTTCTAAGGAATATGCACCATAGTTCTTTAATATTTAACAGGTTACCTCTTATGAGAAAAATTCCATGACTCTCTCACCCACTCAGAAAAGCTTGAAGCCATAAGCACATGGAAGTTAAGCAAAGCCAAACTAGTATTTTCTATTGCCTGAAAATTACACTAAAATATATACTGCATTCCTTACTGTTAATTTTAAGGAAAAAAATCCCACTGCTTAAAAATAAAGCTTCAAAACTAACACCTACCTTCTATCACATAATGGAAGCAATTATCTTTGGATGTAAAGTTTCTTGGTTCTAATACATGTATCTAGAACTGACTACCAGTAAACACAGAACTCACAATGGGTGTTCTTTGCTTCTAGAATAAATTGCTACCTGTTTCACAGCCCTAAAAGAAATATAATAGGAGGCTTTTCAGATTGTTAGAAGCCATTTCTAACTAGAAAAAGGCACTTTGTAAACCAAACACTGAGTTTGGTATTTTCTCTGAGATCTCATTTTGCTTCAACGTAAAGATATAAACTGAATTTAAGTTTAAAAGCCTGAAAGGCCTTTTAAAATTACAAAGCAGTAGAAAATAAATAAACTGACAGGATAAATATGCACATCAATTTCCAAAACTTAAAACGTTATGCTTAAGTTTCTTCTTGAGTGCCACCAAAACAGGAGAAGTTAATATAGGTAATACACACTGCACTTTTTAATGTGCTTTACCATGGCTCCTAGAACATGACTGGCTCTAACAAAATAATTTTGTAGTATTAAATACTCTAAATTGCACAGCTAATTATTGTCTTATTTGCTGAAGTTCAGTAAGAACCCTTGAAGAACTCAGATATTACTAACGGAGTTGAAGGGCAGTCGAAGGGGAGTGTAGTACACCTTTGGAATGCCACCGTAAGTCCCAAGTTATTTATTTACACCAACAGCCCCAAATTATTTATATTACACCAACAGACTCAAATTATTTGAAGCTAAAATCATGGAACTGTTTAATAGTCATCCTGCCATCCAGATCATATTTTACTTCTTCAAGAGGAGAGAAAAGAGGGATATATCCAAGCAAGCATGCAAGGTATCAGCTCTGAAGGCACAACACACTTTACCTCATGTGCTAACTGGTGTGGGACATCACACCCACCTGCAAGAGCTTCTTTCTACCAAGTCCCTTTCACGCAGTTGGTTTTCTGGGATGGAAAGGAGCAGGGGGGCAAAGCGGAGTCATTTTTGAAATGAAGCTACTACCATGTACACACTTGCCACCTATTACACATACAAACTCTTCAACTTTCTAGATGTTCCTTCTGTCCTCTGTCATCAAGAATGTTGCAGTGTAAATGCAAACTGTAGATCGATTGATAAGCAAAGCCTTGCACGTGCCTCTTCCCACAAGTCCAACATGCCAACGTGTAGGTGTAGATTTTACACCATGACCAGCTGAGAGAGTCATATTCCAAAAACCTTACACAACAAGAAATGAATAGCCATACCTCTTTAACTTACCTGTCCTGGTGGATACAATCCTTCTGTATTATGCAATTATAAGCAAAAGTAGTTCAAATAGAGTAACAAAGAAAGGAAGTGTGATTCAGGGGCTTTGAACTACAGCACAAAAAAATCACATTCATCCATTCAAATGCCTGCAGTGTCTGGCCCTAAAAACTGACTGCAAAGTGGGTTGAACGAATGCTCTCCCACAGAAACCCTACATGCCAGGTTACTACTTGAGTAATGTCACTTGCATACCATCCAGCAGCACACTCAGTGCACAGCCCACATCCAAGTGTCAAACATCCACTGTCTTAAAATAACACAAAGATCATAAAAAAGCAGAATTTTTTTAATGATAAGTAAGTGTAAACCAGCATGGCTACCATTTGCCTGAGAGGTACTAGTTTTACTTCTTTCTAGAACTAATCACAACATCTAAAGAAAACTTGGGCAATACCAGGTGAAGATCCTCTACACAAAACCGTATTGTTAACATTTCTGGGTCAAAATTGTTCTTCACAGAGCTCCTACCAGCTATTGCAGAGTCACAACAGCAATACAGCTGACATGCAATATCTTTAAAATGCAAAGTAGTATGACAGATACTGCAAAATGGTGGGGAAAAGGTCAATGACATATTAAAATCATCACGTACTTCTGATAATTTAGCAACACACAGTAAAGTGTAAGCACTGTTCAAAGTAACTGTGTGTCCCACACAACAAAATACAGTCCTAACAGAGTAATGCCATTACTTAACTATGACCTTTGTTAAAGACTTTGAAATACCATGACAAAGTAATCACTGTCTATGCGAAATCTGCCAGATCCTCTACTTCTTGCACTTGAGACCCTACAACTGATCACCAAATGGAGACTAAATCCAGCCATGTCCAACCAACTGCAGCAGCAGCTCCACACCCAAGCACACGCTGATGGCTGAGCAGTGCCTAATCCTTGGCACACAGCTCCAACCAGACGGAGATAGTTTCTGTCCTAGCCCTCAAACTGTGTGCTCCGGATGACCACACCACGAACGGCTGTTTCTGCAGGAACCATGGAGCCTGAGGAGGTGCTCCACATCGAGAGCCGTTGGATGTCCAGTCGTATTTGGGCTTTTCAAATGGTAGACTTCCACCCCGGTTCCACTTCAGCTTCCACTTACTAGAGCTATATATTTAAACACCAAGGTCTTCTGTCTTATTTTTAGTCTCTACTTTCTCCTTCCTCTGGCACGGCAAGAGCGGCTTGACTTGTTCTCAGTTTGGGCATTAGAACTGGGTGCCCGAGGTTAAAATTCGGCTGTCTCACGACTGCCTACCAGCTGCTTCTTCAACCCCTTCTTCCGACTGGACCCCGATGCGCCGCCGCGCTCCCCGCGGGGCACTGCACGCCGGGCTGCGGGGGGCCGGCACCGGCCCCACCTCGCACCCCAGGGCCGCCCGGCCGCACCGCAGCGGGGCCCCCACCAAACTTTGCCGCCCGGCGCGGCGCTGTGCGAAGTGGTGCTGGGGGCCCGGCCCGGCCGCCGCCCCCGCCGGGCTGTAGGTGAAGCAACCTGGCGCCGGCTCCTGCACTTTGCACAGCGGGCGCAGAGCCGCCTCCATCCCTGCGCCTCCCGGCAGCGCTAAGGCGCATTTTTTCGCACTAATCTGCACATTCAGCACGTCCAGAGCGCCTATGACTTTACCTGGACTTTCTCCACTCTCCGGGCTCATCACACTGCGATCGCCTCCCCATCCTACCGCTAACTCTCGCTCTCCTTCACTCCTTCCTCCTTCTCTCTTGCAAGGCCTGCTAAGATCAATCCCGATGGAAAGTACAGAGAGAAAGAAAAAAGAGAGAGGCAGAGCGAAGGGAGGGCAGCCGCTCCATCCCTCCCTCCCCCCCACCCGGCGAACACGCCAGCCCTTTTACCCCCACCCCAGCCCTTCCCTCGGCGATTTCCTCCGCTCTTCGGCAACTAGAAGGGCTCGGAGCAGCGGCTCCCAGCCGCGGTACCGCTGCCCTCCGTGCCGCCCGGCCGGCTCCCCCCCCCGCCGCCCGGCAGCCCCGCGGTCCCCCGCTACCTCGTAAAGGTCCCCTGAAGCCATGCTGGGTTGCGGGACTGGGCTCCTCCGCGCCGTCTCCCTCTCTCCACCTCTCCCGCTCCCCCACTCGCTCTGTTGAGTAAACTGTGTTTTGCAGAATGACAGGCTTTGGGGCTGGCTGTGCGCAGAATCAGAGGCGAGCAGAGGCAGAGGCAGGCGGCGGGGCTGGCGTAACCAGCAGCAGCTCGGGCGCACAGCGCCGGGAGCCGCGTCTTCCCCGCGGCAGCGGGGCCTGTGCTGCCCCCCTCCCCGCCGCACACACCCTTCCCGCCGACACCCTCACCGCCCGCCGGGGGGGGGACATACGGCGGGGACCTGGATCGGGACGGGTACCCCGGCGCCCTCCGGCCGGGAAAGTCCCGGGGCCGCTCGGAGGGCGGCCTCCTTCCACGCCCCGCTCCGAGCCGGGAGCGCTTCAAACTCTTTCCGCGGCCAAAATACATAAATTAAAATTGATAATAATAATAATAAAAATTAAAGGGGGGCGGAGGAAAGGAGCGGCCGCGCGGCAGGGAGGGCCGCGCCGCCCGCCCAAGGTCACCACAGGGAGAAGCGAGCGCGGGGCCCGCTCCCCGCCGCCGGCGTCGGGCGGCCCTGCCAGCCACCTTCCCGCCCCTTCGGCGCCTCATGGGCTCTCCACCCACCCCGTGGCCATCGCCGAGGAAATGGAGGTGGCGGAAAGGCTCTGAGCCTCGATGAGCGCGGTGGGCTGCGGGGACACCCATCGCCTCGGCCAGCGCCCACCCTCCCGCACCCCTTGCAGCCATTTTGACAATTAGCCAGCCCTCTCCCGGAAATGGAAGCCACCGCCCTTTTGCCACATGGGCTTCACGAGGAGGCAGCGGGCGGCCGGTGTAATGCGGTGATCGTGGACGAGGTGCAGCACGACGTCCTCACCCATTGCCAGGTTAGAGCCTTTTCTCTGAGGAAAAGGGTGGCCTCATGGCTGATGGTGTCTTCATGCGGCTTCCCTGAGCAAGGGCAACTGTGTGAAGGTGGTGCTGAGCAAACCGGGCGGCGTGTCAACCTCCTGCTAGGCACCATCACTGCTGAACGCTTCCTGCTTAGGGATTCCCAGGTTGAGGAGGTTTTCTCACACGAGCTTGGCTATAAGTGAAGCTGAACTAGGTCATCGTGAGAGGAAGCGCCACTTTACACTGCACATGATGGTGTCTTTGGGATGCAGTTACTGGTGTGTGGCGAAGAGCTCTTAGCACGCTGCCCTGGCCACTGTGAAGCAAATGGCCGTGCTGTTTGGAGGCTGCTTGGGTATCAAGTTGTGTTCCTGTGGCTTCACACTGTAAAGGATTTCATTCTCCAGGTAGCGTGCTGAGTGTCCTCTCGATATTGTTCTTGATAGGAAAGAGTGCTGTTAGGTTTAGCTCTGACCAGCTCTTCACACCTTGGCTTCATGGACAACCTGCCGTAGCGTTACCAGCTTTTAGACCCCGTGTTTTCACCTCATAGCTGGCCTCAGGTAGCCATTCTCCTGGACCCTGGAAGAGACATTGAATGCTGTGAGGTATGGCGTTGCCATGGTCATGGCTTTCGTTCTTCTTCATTGCGTTGGCATTTTTCATCTCTTTGATTTCAGTGCTTTGTGTAGCGCTGCACTCCATGTTAATGTGGGACTTGGCACTGCCCTGACTATTATCTGAGCAGCAGGTTGGAGCCGGTTATTGAGTTTTATAGAGTAAGTCTTGGCATAAATGTTGCTGGTATCGAGTGCTGAATTATTTCTCAAATTTAATTTATGACCAAAAATCCTGGGCACTCTTGGTGAGGTGAAGCCAAAGACTCCTCTGGCTGAGGTTATCGTGCTTGAAATACTGATGCTGAGTATTTTGAATGTTGTCACGTTATATCATGAAAGTAGGAAATAACACATGCGCGTCTAGCTCTTGATTGACCCCATTTCCTGAATTGTGAATATTACCTCTGGTGATTATGAACTTGCTGGCTAATCAGTTTAGTATTGACTTATAATTCAATAAAAACTATCTTGTGGTGGCTTGGAGCTCAAAGATGTTTGTGTGGTCTGCTGGGTGGTGTGCATTCATAAGGACAAGCTACTCTGCTCACATAAAACATAACTGTTTTTTATCTTATATTTGAAGAGTAAAATGGTGAAAGGATTAAGAAATACTGCAAGCTACCCATGCCTGTAGCAATTTCAGTAATTAATGCAGCGAAAACTTTTTAATTCTCAAGAAATGCATTACTTAATAATCACACCCCATGGTTGCTTCTTTATAAATCAATTATTTTGTCTCATTGTAAAGTGGCTTTTATTTTTTACAGAAGTAAATCAGCTCTTTGGGGTGCTCATTGAGCAGAATGTTCCATCGATAAGTAAATGTTTTAATACATTTCTTTTCAAAGTCTGCTTCATTACACCTACTATTTTGCTGCTTCCCAGCAGTAAACAAAGTGGCAGTCAAATCCAGTGAATCATTTTTCAGATGCATTCTAAAATATTCCATGTCTGAAACTGTTGGCTTTCCTTATCGCATCAACTTGTTCCAAAGGTGTCTTGAATTAATTGAAAAATGTCCCTTTCCAATGTAGAAGAATATATGTCTTGTCTTTTGAGACAAGTGTAATAATCAAATTGCTCTTTCTGGCCTTTGCTGTTAACTCTGTTGTCAGAGAACTTAAATTAGAACCCACCCTGCACCATAATGGAAGAACTCTTCAGGACCTGATCTGATCTAATATTTTAGGAAATTTAATTTACATGGTACAGAGTTGAGATCATGTTAGACATTGTCAATATTGGATTTACAACCCAAACAAATACTAGTTTGGAAGTCCTGAAAGGATGAATGCTTTAGTGAATACTTCGAAGAAGGGAAACATCTTTTTCCTGATTACTCATTCCTTGCTTTAGTGTACTCAGTCCCTCGGGATGCAGTGGTGTGTGAGTCAATAGTGAGGAGCAGAAAGAGGACTTTTGCAACTGTCAAACCCAGGAAAAGCTGATGGTGGTTTCAGTGTATTTCTCTGTCATTTAGCAGAAAACAAGATTTCAAGTTTAAAAAAATCCACGTGGCCTTCATTTTCCCAGCAGGTCTCTACTGTAAGTAGTCAAGTCATGCTGTACACCTCCAAGTCTTTTGGAAAAAATAGAAATATTTAAGCTTACTACCATTTAAAAAAAAGATTTCTGATAATAGATTTTGTGGAAATATTTTCCAATTTAATTGCCCTTAAATAAAAATGTCTTTGCTCCTAAATGAAATTTCTCCCAAAATCCAGATTTTTGTGCAAATTACAAACTCCAAACTGAATGGTTTTGCTAAATATGTGATTATTCATTATTCTTATTGTTCCGTTGCCTTCTCCTGTTTCCCATCCCAGGAGAGCAATGCAAGAAAGGAAGGCATTCCAAGTGTGATACGTCACATTTGAACACTTCTTTTCGTTTGGTGGGTGCTTTGGTTTCCACCACTTTAATTACAGGAATTATCTCTCCAACTGAATAAACTTAGAAGGAAAACTATGCTTTTTCAGAAAGCTAAAATGCAGTTGTTATAGCTGTGCCATTGATGTGTTATCGATTGTTTAGTCAGTCTGTCCAGTGCTATGCAAATACTGTGGATACTGTGCAGTCAATAATACAGTTCCCCCAAGGAGTGTACAGTCAAGCAGTGCATTTTGGCAGCAAGCTTTATGAAGAGTGGCTGTAAAGGGCTGAATTGACTCCTGAAGAGGAAGATGGATGATTTGATAAATAAAGAAATTAAGAGAATTCCTATATTAGGGTATGATAATTAAATCAGAAAAGGATGAAGACAAGGCACAAGTGAGAGGAAGAGGAGAAGAACAAGGAACCAAAGGTGCATACAAGGAGAAAGCTGTGCAAAGCCTTGGCTGTGTGGAAAAATACGAGGCAAAAGGGAATATTTCAGCAGCAGCAACTGGAAGTAAAAGCAGGGAACAAGGTAGCAGGATGTCTGTCTCTAAGCAAAGAAGGGGGGATGACCAGAACGTGGAAAAAGTCAGTGAGGTTGAAAATGAAAGAAAGTGTTTTAGTGAGTTCATAAAGGAAGAGTTGACAGGAAGTGGTGAGTAGCTACAGCAGGAAGAGGAGAGCCACTTATGATGCCACTGTTCTGGCTGGGTGATAGGCAAGATAATGGATTTCCTAGGGCTTGGTACCGTGATGGCTGTGTACTCACCTGTTAGGTCTGAGAGAGACCTGAAATACCTCAGGAAGCTTGTCAGAAAAATTATGCAAGATGTGAAGGAAAGTGAGAGTTGCAAAACAAGATGAGGATGTCCTTAGCCTACATACATCAACTAAAAATCAGAGAATGGATGAATGTGAAAGGCAAATAGGAAGGCACCCTTTTATTGAATGTTAGATGTACATTATTGTGTGACAAGAAAAATCAGACTTGGGAAAAAGCACAGTATTATTTTGCTCTGTGCCGTGCTGTCTTTGAAAGCAAACAAGTGGTTGCTATTATTTGATTCTGGTGCTAAATTAATTTCTTTCTCCAAACCTTTCTTTGGATCTTCTAACATGTAATTACTTATTATCAAGAGGAAGAATTTGAAATAGAATCAGAAATACTACAGTATAATGAATTAAACAATAATATATAGAAAACAATATAATGTTTACTTGTTGGTGTACAGCATATGCTATGAAGCAGAACTGTTATAGAGTTGAAGGCGTATTTTAATGGCAGCTGCTCTGGAAACTGTCTTTGCTTCTTACAGCCTTGCGATTCTGTACTATTCTGTTAAGTATGGCCAATATGTCATGTACGCCACTACAAGAAAAACAGGTGAGTACAGAAATGAACCTGCAAGAGGAGACTTTGCTGTCAAAAGTGTTTTCCTAAACCAGTACAAGGAGTGTTCCGTAGCAGCAGTCGCTGAAAAAACCTGGTAGTGAGTAAGACTTTGCATCAGATAGAAATGGCTCAGAATTAGTTTCTGGTGTGAGTCAGCAAAGAGATGTTTTCCATGGATTATTATCAGAGCCACATAACAGCCATTGTGAAAGATGCATTGCCAGGATGTACACTTGTTCTGAAACAAAAATGATTATGTAGGGCCTCAGTGAAAAAACATGGAAACAAGTGGAAGAACTCTTTTAATCTCTGTGTATTTAGGTGCCTTCCTCACCCTTTCATCTCTCCTTCTTCTGATTCCTCTTGCTATATAGTTGTATCATTCACCATCTTACTTTACTAGAACCATGTCTGGCAACAAGGAGTTGAAGCTAGTCATTGTTGTGTTTTAC